TGGTGTGGTGTGTGTTTAATTTTTTTTTCCTCTCGATCTCGAAATATTTCCTCTTGTTTTGAAAAACACAGATCACCTAAGATGACGAACTGTGTAGGGGGGAGGTACCGGGTCGAAACAAGAACCGCAGATGAAAGTTTTGCACTTGGCACCGTTCGGTTTGATGACAGTGTGGTGAAACAATTCATTGCTCTAAAATTTTCCAAAGGGTTCTCCTCCTCCCTCCCTCCCTTTATTTTGGTCTCCGCATCCCTCCGTTTGCCAAGCCTGTAGCCTGTGTTTGTTATTTGATTTCCACGACAACACGAGAAACCAGCTTTACGCATCCTCGAATTGGACACTGACCCACGGAGGAAAATCGTTCACTTTGGGGGGCGATCACAGACTCTTTGCTGACTTTGCCGCCACCCACAGAAGTCCTCCCCCAATACTGAAATGCCTCCCCCCCCCCCTCCTTTAGATAAAAATGAGGCTTTATGCACGGCACTACTACGGAAGCTTTGATGTGTTAATGAATTGAAAAATGGTCTTCAACAGAGTTCAGTTATCCCCGCTGAGCCTTGAGAGGGTGTGCAGTGGTGATGATGGTAGGGGGTGGCATTTTGGTGGGAGGTGGAGTGTGTGTGTGTGCGTGCGTGCGTGCGTGCATAGGCACTTCAAAACAAACCCATAAACATTCCAGGATCTTTGGGGCAGCTGTAGCTCTGAGTTAACAGCACGCAGGGTGTGAAGTGTAGGAAAGAACCACATGCAGGTAGCATAGAAACACCTACTTGCTTTTAATTTTTTTTTTTTTTTTTTTTTTTTTTTAGTGCTGATTTTCTAGGATTTGTTCATTTTTCTCCTGCACTTTTTTTTTTCTGCATCCATCCCCATTTGCGTCGTTCTTTTACTGTCAGATACTAAACTTTTTCCAATTCTTTCTTCCTGTGACAAAATGTCTGGATGTCGTTAAATCCTTTGCAGCTACACATGCTAAATCATTTAAAGGTTAAATTCTGGAGCTTTCTTTTACATTCTCCACACTTAAGCGTGTCCAAGCTCAGTCCGGTCTTTGTTGGCCGATCTTATTGCACAGCTGTAAATCTAGAGGATGCCAAGAGGTCCGCTGGTACTTCAGCTGGGCAGAAAACGCGATCCATCGCTTTCATGTTCTGCTACAAGGTGTTAATGGTCACAAGTGCTCACAGCTGTGTGTGTGTCTGAGATGCTTGATCACAATCACAGACCCCTACCTCCATGCCCCCACCCGCTTTCCACCCCTGCAGCCCCAGCCACTCAGTGTGACGTGTGTGTTCTTTGTCACATTTCCCTTAGAAGAAGTTGGACAGGCTGTTTAGATCTTCACATGCACACACACACACATGCAGGGAGTCTCTCACCAGTCGATGTATATTGTTTTTCCCACTCAAACCTGGGACCAACCATCTCGCCATCTAAGGGTTAAAAGGCTTTGAACTCATTTTTCAAACTTTGTTCAGGATTAAATTGCCCCGCTCCCCTAACACTGCCTTCATATTCCATTTTGGATAATTCTCCAGGGTTGAGAATTAATTCTGATCTTGGACTCTCCAGAGTATGAAAGCACAGCAAATAAATCCAGCAGGGTCTCTACACAAACAGCGCTGCCTTGATATGAATTTATACATAAAACAGTATTTTCATTAGCTCGAGGATTCCATACAAATTGGGCAACATAATAACCAGATGGAATTGGGAAACAGTCTGGGAATGTGCTCCCCTTTTTCTTCCAGGGCCCGCAAGAGGGTGGGTCGGGGGGAGACTTGGCCTCTTTCCCAACCAGGTGCCAGGCTTTCCTTTGAGTGTGGACAGCGATATGTATTGCTCACCATATGCGGGGTACTTATTGCTTAACATTTGCGCTTGAGGGATTCTCCTCCAGTGAAGTTGTCCTTTAAGTGATTGCAAAAAGCTCAGATCATTGAACTTAATAGAACTGGAGAACTGACCTTGGCTGGAGCAGAGAAATGAAAATCATCTGTAAATTATTGGGAAATATGTCTTAAAGGTCACACATTATACCATTATCATTATAAGTTCATCTAAGTCTCATATCTCTCAAGAATGTGCATGTCAAGTGTCAGCTTAAAATACAAAACGGATTTCTCATCCTGCAGTGGTTGTACAAACACAGTCTTTGCTGTGTTTTATAAAGTTTCCCTTAAATAAAATAGGGGCCTTGGCAGTGGCAGCTTATCTGGAACAGCGCTGTGCCTTCTCCTGCCATTGCAATAGATATCTCAGAACAGGAAAAGTAAAGCAAAAGAACTTTGGTTTCCCGCCATAAGCCCAGATCCTGTAAGTATAGACTTACCCACTGTCTTGTAACAAAACTCCAGAATTCAGCCACACGTCTGAACCAGAACTGGACCCAGAGCAAGGAAAGAGTCTTACAGAATGCAATGCTGCACTAAATTTTCACATAATAGAGTTACCATTTCTGAAATCACTTGCATTATGGCTATTTATTTTCCACTTATGTACAATCGGGCTAACTGAGTTTAGCCCGCACTACAGGACATGAAGAGACATGAAAATACCCACTTGTCGCAGTCTCAGTATTAAAGGCATTTTTTTCTGGCCTTTTGTATTCTAACACAACGCTGGTGAGTAGGCGTATATACTCAGGTCGTGCAAATAGTAGCCAGATTAGCTGTGCAACATGCTAACAGTGTTTTCCGATCAGGCAAGAGTGGGTAAAGTGTACTGCATCCATTCAACACTAAACATTAGTTTGATTGTAGTATTTTTTCAGATGTATAGCTAAGAGCTTTACAGAGCTACAGGCTCAAACCAAAAAATAAAGAAGTAAAGGGTCATGGAGTGGAGTGGGGGGGGGGGGCTTTGTTGAAGATGAGGACTGTGTAGTTGTGACATGACGTTATGGAAGGCCCTTATAAGTCGTTTTTAAGGTAGTTTCTGAACACAGTTTGCGTAAATCTCTATTTTTCTAAATCACTTATAGTCCACCTTTACATATTTGTAATGAAATGGGTACTGAGATCTCATTTTCTACGAACTTAGAACTTTTAAACTTATTTTGTTACGTGTTCTACAACTGGTTTCTTATTTTGTCAGTAGTAAACTTAATTACTGAAAAGATTTATATAATTGAAAATAAAAAAAATTGATATTTCCCAAATCTTTGGAACAGCATTGTTGTTTTAAAGGAGTGACAGAGTCATTTAAAAGATGATTAATTATTAATTGGTCTTTATATAAACACTAAACTTATAAAAGCGGGGGTTTAATACATAGAACATAAAAGTGACGTTGGACAAAATTTTATTCAGTAGTAGTGATGATGATGATGATGATGATGATTATAAACTACCTGTTTTCATTGCCCATTATGGCACTTAATTACTTAATTTTCTTATTTATTTTACTGTTTTGTGTCTGTGTACAATGTATTTGTACATACTGTCTGGGAAAAGCTCTTACAAACTTTTATTTACTTACTCAACACAAAGGTGTAAAGGTACCATGTTGTGGTTACAGGTGTTGCAGGTGTGTTATGTACCATTTTTATGCTCTTTAATTCATACACAGCCGTAGTACCTTAGTAGCTCGGCTTTTTGCCTAGCAACTTCAGAGTGGTGACGTGTCCTCATGAAGTGACTGCACCTGGGCAAGAAATAGCTCTACAAACAAACAAGATATAATGTGTTAATTAGTGAGGGCTGGCAGATTTAGTTGCCGCCGGTCAGAGCCAGGCTAGGTGTTTGGCCCTCGTAAGAGGCTGTTCTCGCTAGCTTCATGTTTATCCATCTGGCATGAGGATGGTGTCAAACTTGTAGCCCTGCAAATATGATCATGTATACACGGAGTGAGTGGGTAAGACAGAAAATATACATTTCACATGTTTCTGTAACTGACGCTTCTGCGCCTTACCCTCACCCAGTGTGTTTTAACTTAGTCTCTGTTGCTACATCCTTTTTGTTTTATTCTAAACATTTATTGTGTAGTGAAATCTATTTCCTTGAAGCCTCTCCAGTTTGACTAAAGTTAATGAATATCACTTTCTGTTGTGATCCTCTAATACTTCTGCTTTGCCACAACTGTTGACATTTTCACTCAAACAGCTCTGCTGTTGTTTACCGCTTTTCAAATGTATCTGCAGATAACTTTGAGCTAAAGCTAAGCTCAGCGACAGTTGACTTTGAAGCCACGGCCAAGTCTTCAGGTCCCAGGTCTGACTTTGATTTAACCAGCAGAAGTTCTGGATCAAAGTCTTACACAAGCAAGAAGTGTGGGTTTCTCATTAGGCTTCTCAAATGCAAAACCCCCACGTTTAGATAATGAAAAGAGTTTATCAATAATGTCAGAGTTGGTGAACGCAGTTTTATGCTGAGGAATCAACGGAAAAGACTTGTGAGCAAAAGAGACATTAAGGAACCAGCTGGATTTCAAGGGTAACTGGGAGAGCTATAACCACCCCTCACATGTCCCATATATCCTGCTCGCCTCATTTAGAAGACAGCTAGCTCGAGCCCATTCCTATATCTGATTTGGTCTCGCTTTTAATAGATCTAAGAAGTCTTTACTCATCAGTGATTCATGAAATTAATGTCTCTCTTTCCAGTGATTAATAACTAATGGGCTGAGAGAAGCCGAATTCATTAATTATGAAATGGGGAAAATGAGCTCTGCAAATATCACTTTTGATTGATGAGTTCTGGAATAGCAGCCAAGCCCACAGATGCAGCATAGATTATAAACCACTTATTATTATTATTATTATTATTATTATTATTATTACACTGCCTTACTTGAAAATCTTTCCCAGCTCTCTTTTGATATACATACCCCACCAGTAAGGATATATTTTACTGCTGAGCATGCTCCATGTGAACATTTCAGCCTGCTAAATTTATGTTTGAACCCTAAGATAAATACTGAGAAGTTATTGTAAACTTTTGCATCTATCCTCCTCACCCTTGCCGATACCATAACGGCTTTGCTCTTTCCCTCCGCAGCGTGCAACTGCAACCTTCACGCCCGCCGGTGTCGATTCAACATGGAGTTGTACAAGTTGTCAGGGAGGAAAAGTGGCGGGGTGTGCATGAATTGCCGCCATAATACCGCAGGACGCCACTGCCACTACTGCAAGGAGGGCTTCTACAGGGACATGGCCAGACCAATCACCCACAGGCGAGCCTGCAAAGGTGAGAATCTAACAAGAAGTAACAGTAGTGTTTATGAAGAACTTTATTACTAATTTTCCAGCGTGGCTTTCAAGATAGTCTGTGCTATTTGCTGCATGAGCTCATTCCTCCTCTATACTTCTATTAGGCTTCAGTCAAGCATACTGCAGAACTGTAGCACTCATTCATTTATCCTTGATTATGATCAGAGCTCGCTCTTCATCTGCTGTCAGAAATATAACACACAAGTGGTTTCCTGGGAAAGAATTACCAACCACAAGTCACGAGCACGGATCGCTTCGCGTTATGTCAGTCATTAATAGAGTAGAAAATATTTGTTTATAGATATATGTGATTATATGAAAATGTCCCAGATTATTACTTTAAATGTAGTTTAGCTTTTTCTTTGGCGCTACTCGGTGCTAAATGTTTACAAAATGTTCAAACAAACACTGATTGAGCCAGTCTATGTGTTTGAGAAAGGGGAGAAGTGGTAATATTTTATGAGTGGAAACATATGTTGTCATGGCAACTCTTACTATATATGTATATATTAAAAAAAAAAAATCAGCATGTCTGATTTGCCATACCATAGCAGAGAGAAATGATTTGATACTATGCCTGGAGTCTTTCTGGCCACCCCACCGAATGTTTCCCCCCTTGCCCACACACCACATAATATTTTCATGTAACCAATGCATGTCTCATGGAAAATTGATTTCATTATTTCACATTTGCAGTGATATTTTTCAGCCCCATATTATGCTGGAAATATTGCAAAAATAACACTTGTTTCCTGTATTTGATGCTCGAGAAAATACTCAAATAAATAAGAGTGTTTTGTAGCCGTATGATCCAGATGAAGGTTTAAAAAAAAAAAAAATCACTTCCAGAACATAAAAAACGGCACTAGTGAAAGCTGCCAACACTCATAGCCATGAAGATCTCCTGGCTGTAATTTCACGGTGGGAATCTCTCACTGGCTTCTCGTCAGTTTTCCTTCTGCAGCCTGTAATATAACACCGAGAGGTTAGAAATGGCATGATATCAGGCCGCAGTTGCCCATGGTAGTTTCAATGAGATGTTGAGCCATTCATCGTGTAATGGCCAAAAAAATTACAAAAAAACCCCTCCACAGCGACTTGGTCACATACCTTAAAACTTAAGTCATTTGACCTGTTAATGCACTGAAACAATAACAGAAAGGGATCTGCTGCACCCCTGACAACAGATCCGCTCTGAGATGTGCATCCCCATGTGCAAATGGTTCTCTCATCTTTCATTTCCTGCAGTACGTGGAAGCATAATGTTTTCACACACATGCAGGCCACTTGACACTACAGTTTGTCTGCAATCCAAGTCAAGTGATCAGGTTATAAACAGTTTAACACCCTCCTTTCCAAAAGCTCCAGATGTGACAGAATCCAAGCTTACATTTATAAAGCTGAGGGGGCCAGCTCCATGATTGATCCACAGCATTCTAGGAGATGTCATTTGCTTTTGCTCTCTTTTTCTTCATCTCTGTCTTGCCAGATGGTTTACAACCAGGACCTCTGATTGCACCCTGACTTATGACTTCCCTCACTCTGCCTTTCTACAAACCCATTAAACCTTTGTCTTCCTTTTATTCTCATACCAGCATCTATGATTTTCTTTCCAGCCCTTTGCTTTCCATGTCCTTTCTGCCTGTGACCCGGTCGCGACAGAGGTCAGGGGTGTGGTATTGTTGAAGGGGGTGCGTGTCATGTCGTCATGTCTGAAATGGAGTTACTGCAATAAAATACAGGTGTGTTCAGAGGAGGAGGCGGGAATAGAGGGAGGCTGGTGGGCGGTACAGAATCTAGAAGGGGTTGTGTCTGTTACTGATCAAACTTGTCCAGGTCTAGTTGTCTGTTCACAGTGTGAGGCGTATTTGAAGGAATCTAAACACAAAACCAGGATTCCGGAAGTAACGTGGATATTTTAAGTCCGCAAATCTGAAAGCTACTTTCCATGACAGCAGACAAAGGCAGTCTTCCATGTGTCCTCACCCCCAACTGCTCTCAGTGGATGGCTGCCCAGCCGTGAGCCTGGTTGTTCTTGAAGTTTCTTCTAGTTAAAAGGGAGTTTTTCCTTCCCACGGTCGCCAAGCGCTTGCTCATAGGGGATCATCTGATTGGTTGGGGTTTAAGTATTAAATGCCTTGGTGTGACTGTTTTTGTGATTTGGCGCTACATAAATAAAACTGAAGTGAACAAAGTGCAGTCACCACAAGTTGAGTAACACAGTCACTTAAAATCACTTGAATCGCTTAAAACAAGCAGACGCCTGAGAAAGGGACTGCAAATCCCAATGCAGCGCCTGTCACATCTGCAGTCACATGGGCTTGAAAAGCCATCAACATCTGAGGACATTTTTACAGCTTTCTAACTGGCTCTAGCCTCTGCACATAAAACCTCAGAAAAACAGTTTGAGGAAGGAAGGCTGGGGGTTAGACTGACACGACCAAACCCCCGTCTCCATCCTGCCTGCCCCTGACAGCTCGTTCAGATCTGGCCGTTGCTGGTTATTTACTGAACAATGTGAACACTGACAGTAACCTCTGAACTCCAAACAGTCCGAGTCTCAATTAGAAGGGAAGCGAGGGGGTCGCTGTGCATCATTCACAGTTTGTTTATACTGACCAGCCCTGTCAATGTTAAGTGATCAGTGCAGAGACAATAGCTTGTAAAACTCCTTGCCTTTGTCACATGTCTCTGCAGGAACAACTTGGGATTATGACATGGGTCATCTCACATGTGCTTTTCCTTTGGTCTGAAAGCGTTTTTCATTACTTGAAAAACGGTAAAAGTTGACGGACCAGTGCACTACATCATTTGAGTTTTATTGAGAATGCAAACTTCAGGAAAATCCCAAATAGTTCCTAGCAAGAAGCAGAAGAAACTCTGGCTCTAAATGAAGGTGGAGGTTGCTGGCACAGCATAAAAAGGCGTCTGGTGACCCCCGGCACCTGAATTAGTCCTGCATCACACCCTGCCACATGCTTAACGTTCTTGTCCTTAGTTCAGTCGCACTTTACCAAGTGCCTTCAAAGCTCAAGTTTCCCATTGGAGTCTGCGTGACTCAAATAATGGGGATTTTGCACTCATGATGAAGCATCAGATTTACATCTCGGCTTCAAAAATCTGCGGGCGCAAATAAACACATTAACAGTTTCGTCAGGTGGTGGGAAGAAACCGTGGCATGTTAGCAGCTGCCTTTCCCTGGCAAGCTCTGTAGAAGTCTGCTGGATTACAGGGTTTTTCCCTTGTATGAAATATTGGTCCTTCTTGCCTTTTCTTGATAAGCCTGGACAATTACAACTATTGTGTTACAGCTGAGGCCCTTGCAAGTTTGCTTTTGCCATTTTGTTTTTTTTTTTGTTAGTCTGAGAGTATTTTTCCAAAGTGTCAGACTGAAAACAAAGGGGGAAAAGGCAGAGTTTTCCTACTGGGTTTCATGGCTTATTGTGTTTTTGCTCTCACACTTCCTGTGTTCTTGTAAGCTTTTGTCAAATGGCTTCAACCAACACTCTAGGCCTCATATGATTAACTGCTCTTCATACATCCAAAAAAACTAATGAGTTAAAGTGGCTTAAATAAATCACCTAGAAAAGCAAACCTCAAAAGTCTTGCCAAAGTGAGGTGACCGGAGCATTGCCTGTTGGTGTTGGCATTTGGTGGGCATCCACGGAACTTTTGGGAAGTGATGAAACAGCAGAGCGTGTGTTACCAGGCAGGCAGGCACTAGGCTGCATGCAGCATTTAGGAAAGAGGAAACGAGCATTTGGTCTGCATCTCCTGCTGAAACTGATGCACTACATGCATCGTTCACCCGATCTAATAGCTTTCTGTGCTTTTAGTTGTCCTGTAATGTCCTCCACACAAATATCTTATTTCTCATCAGTTTTCTGGATATGCATGCAGTTTTTCACAATGCAGTAGTTTGAGAAACCTAAGTATAAAGGCTAAAGACATGTGGGCCCCCAAACATTCAGTATTAATGCAGTCAATCAATCATTAATCAATAATATTTACTGAATGTCGGAGGAGTTTTGTCTTATCATTTTGCATTTTGCAGCAGGTTTGATGAACTGGTATCTCTTATCTCTTTTATCTGCCCCACCACCCTCCATCCCTCTTTGACATCTTCCCCCAACC